TGTTCATCTCTGGCATTTCTATGTTTTTGTTGTTGGACGTATTGATTTTATTACTTAAGTCTTTTTTTACGTTGCAGAAGAATTTGTTCATTTTATCGTCAATAATAATAAAGCAATAATTAAGATAGGTTACTAGAGTTAAGAATCCATCGGACAGAAGTTACGGAGAAAAACACAGTATTACTTCAATATAATATAAGATAATTTAAAAATAACTGAAAGCTGATAAAAATACTATTATTGATCTTTTTAAAATTTGGTTGAAGAATATTTTTCATCTATAACGGGTTTTATAATTCCTTCGCCGTTATAATCGAGAAGATTAATTGGTTGACTGCTCGATAAAAATAATCAATTGAACACCACAAGGCAAGTGCAATGTCACGTGTGTGGCCAAGCCTCATAACTCGCACTTACAATATATTCGTCTTGTGGCCCGCGTAGAGCGTCATAGATTGGCGTAGCTGAAAGCGCGAAATATGTATACACGAGCGCAGTGGAATCGTTGGGAAATGGGAATAGATACAGGCAATTGAGATAGACGCAATAAATGTAATTAACGTCGGCTTTATACAAAAGAAAATATTTAGAGGGTACAAGGCATCATGCGTAAACAGCGCAGCAAAGAATGAGAAAGTGGATAAGCGGAGAGAGAGCCTAATCATGAGATGGTACTTACATACTCGTCGGCCATGCCCTTTGTAAATATCGATGCCCTAGTATCTACACTAAATCTCCTCGCTGGCTTTCTCGACGGAATTCTTAGCTAAGTCCATACAAGGCACTGCCGTACAATAAAGAAAAAGGCTAAAGTTATCCGCGCGAGCAGAGACACGTGTTGTCGGCCTCAAGTCCACCAGCTAATTGCCGCTCGTGGTGTCCCTTCTTTCCCTCAGTTTTAGTCGCGCGCGTCCTGACATCTCAAAACACTCTCAGCGCGACATATATGTTAGTGCATATCGCTCTCTCTCTCTTTTTCTCTAACGCGACTCTCTCATCTTTTGGCTGCGACGGCTGCTGCTATATATATTAAGTATAATATATTATAATATAATAGTATAATATTTATATTAATATATAAGGGGGCAGAAAGAGAGAGACATAACGAATGAAACTTAAATTCGTTATACATCCAAATGTTGATTGTACCATTATATTGCTGCTATATTCTTGGAGTGGTCACTGCGAACAAGTAGTTGAAGAAAATAGACCAGAAAATAAGAAAGTTAATGTAATGAAAATTCCAACTGGAACTATAAGAAAAATTCAACCATTAGATGTATATGAATTTCGACTGTGGAAACACTTTGTTCAACGTTTTTTAGATAACCATATGAATTTAAATTCGAGAAACATTATTTCATTGGTTCATAAACAATGTACCCCACCAAGAATATTTCAATCTTTGTTAATAATCTTCTCTTAAAAGTGGTTGATATCTCGAAGAAAAACCAGAAAAATTTAATAATCCAGTTAATTTCAGTTTCGGGGATTCTTGTAGTTCAAAATGCGAAATTAAAAGCTGTCAAAATGCCTCAATTATACTTCGTGACTGGTGTAAAAAGTTCCTATACTTCGAATATTTTTTTGATGGTTATCATTACAGTTCAGACTTTAACAAATAAAAAATGTTAGAAAACCGTTCCTTCTTAATCGTATAAAGTTTTATAAAAGTTTATATTAATAAGTGTGCAGCACTTTACCGAAAAATTGATATAAAAACAAATAAATTGAAAATAAAATTATGTTCATTGTAACGTCGGTTGACGAAACAATTCTCAGGCGCACTTTTTTGGTATATCCTTGCGGACAATAACCGGGACGTGCGTTACCACTATCGCGGGAAATTCTTTTTTCGGCGACGGAGGATCGAAGCTTTACTATACCACACGCTTGGCAATATAGCAATGCTTTGCGTTATTTTACCACACTCTTGGCAATAAAATAACGTAAAGGGGGGCCTATCTAATATGCACTCGACCACACGCTTGGCAATCGAGTGTAACTATCTAAAAAGACAGACCATCCGCGAAACTAAAATAGGAAAGAATAAGAAGAGAAAAGGAAGTAAAAAGAAGTTATAGTAAAAAATTTATTTTGATTTTCTTTACTTACTTTTGCCTTAATTTCCCACACACACACTGGAAAGAATAACTAGAACCTTCGAACTAGACGAACTTTGAAAAACAGCAAACTAATTTGGAATGGTTACACGAACTGAATTTAGAAAATAACTGTCTAATTTTCTTGAAAAGCTCCCTTTTATATTTTTCGCAAAAGACTCCCACTCGAATATCTTTGTCATTTTTGGGCAGGAAGAATTCAAATTTTCTTAACTTAATTGGTTGGAAAATTTGGGGAGTGTCTCAAGCGTAAGCGAAATTCGAACCCTAATTGGCCGGGGGCGGAGTGTGTGGGAGTGGTCTCATTTAAGTGCTTTGGGCCTTCTTCACATAGATGGCCCTCTATATCCTATTTTGACCTTTAATTATTTAAACTAATTTTATTTAAATTCAATTGTGAGAAAAGTTATTTAATGAGTAAAGTTATTTAAAAAAAAACTATGATCTAGAGGTGAACTTTAAGGGTGAATTTCATCCCTTAAATATGTTTTTCCGCCGATAAAAAAATATGAATCTCTTGTTTTTTTAATTGTGATGATGTGTTATCACTGAAATAATTTATTAAGCTCGCGTGAAATCCACTTCCGACAAGAGGATCCGATCAGCTGATGCCGCATAGCCCACTCGCGCACATTTGAGACCTCGCGATTTAACACTTCTCCGGGTCTACCAAGCTGACGCGCACGACCCTTATGCCCGCGTACAACCACTTGCGCACTCACAACTCGGACCGATACTCCCCCAGGAAGCTAGACGACGAAAAAAATTGCAGCTGAGATCAGCTGATCATAGCAGTTGCTACTAAGCTCGCGTTAGACCTGACTAGACCAAGGGCAACCGAGCGCGTGAGAGCGAGCGAGATAACCGATACGAGAGCGAATGGACGCGAGCGAGGGGAAATCGGTAGGACTAACGAGCGCGTGTGAGAAAGAGACGACTGATAACAACGCGAAACTGACCGACGCGCGCGACTCGACGAGCCAACCGGTAATAGGATAGGGGCGGGTTAGCAAATAGGACAAAAGCGACGCTATCTGATTAACACATAGGAAAATTAGGCGCCAAAAACCGACCAGTCGTCAAATTACGTGGGCCGAAATAATAAAATAGACGGCGCTGATGATCGACCTAGCAAGAAAATTGACCAATAAGGTAAGATCCCGCGACTGTAAGGGAAAGGAAACTAGAAGAAGCGACGCGATGCCGCGAAAAGCCGCGGTAGTAGCTGCCAGATTCTCTAGCCACGCGGAAGCCCATAGGACGTGAGTGAGTGAGTGAAGGACAAAGAGAGCATATCCGCAGCAGAGCAGACATTTAGCAATTATAGCAGAGCAGACATTCCACAATAATAGCAGAACAGAGATTCAGCAACGACAGCAGAGTAGACATTCAACAACAGCAGTAGAGCAGACATTCAGCAACAGCAGCAATACTCAAAAACTGGTGGCAGCGAATAAGCGAAAAGTGGGTACTTTCTTCTCTCACCTTTTTATTATACGTGATCGTTTAAACCTCGCGCATTAACGGGAGTGCCGTCTGACCTTCGCGCGACCGACGAATTACTCGCGCGAGCATTAGATTGCCACCGAATTTCCTCTGTGCGATCGATTGAGTTCTCGCGCATTGAATGAGTGCCGTCTGACCTTCGGGCGTCCGATGAATCCCTCGCGCGCATATTAGATTGCCACCGAACTTTCTTTGTGTGATCGTTTAAGTCCTCGTGTAAATAAAAGTATCGTTTGACCTTCGCGATCACCAAGTTCCCCGCACAAGTATTAGATTGCCGTCGATGCTTTTGTGTTGTCGTAAATACTCGCGTATCGATAGAATTCTTCATGACCGTCACGCAATCTCCGAAATCGTCCGCGTATTAGTCCAGGCCACCTGATCTCCGCTCGATCGCCACGAAAACGGATCGCAATCGCGTCACGGTGCGTCATTTGCGTCTTTAGAAAAATTTAGGCGAAGCAGACCGCCGCGAATAGCCAGTTACTATTGAGCGTAGGACGAAACGCGATATGACTGACCTTGAGCTGACTCGAGTAGAACGAATTTTGATTATTAATAAAAATGAATCCTAGCTTAAACTCTTGTTGTCATTGACTTAACCCTGTTTGATTTTTCCATATCTCCCGTAGCTATCGCGATCGGGGGCACAAAATTAGCTAACGCCTCAACGCTGCTTCAGTTTACGTGACCTTCTACTACCCCTGGATTGTTAACGTGGCGTCCTGAGACGCCGCTCCGATTACCCGCTGCTGAGACAAGAGCCCTTACCCCGACATATTGCCTAGCCGTTGAGCCGTAGCCGTGGGTGGTTGTGCCCCTTTGATTTTCTTCGCACGTTTGATTAGGATTTCGCGCTCCCTTTTTCTTACATCCTATAGGTAGCCAACGAAGCCAACGTGCAGAGGAAACAACAAGACCGCCCGCATCACAGCGACCAGAACCCAGCCGATCTGCAGCGCTACCCGCCCTCCTAACGCGAGGACGGTAGCTGGCGCTCAACGATAAATCGATAAATAAAAGCTGTGATTATCGGCTGAATGCGCCGCTGGTGACAGTTGAGACAGTGAAAATTATAATAAATTATTTTTCCTCTGCTCTCTTCCCGTCACATAATATACTATGATATATACAAGAATTATTAAATAGATAAGTTCGGATTGGTGTACCTTCTTTGTAAATACAAAAACATTTAGGTTCAACGGATTAAAATACACGAGAAAAATAAATGGATATATCTGAATTTAAAATATGATTATGCTATACTTATATTTATGATTACTAATAAATGAGAACATAAACATATTCATGTGAAATAGTATTTATAGTAATATTGATTTTAATAATATTAATAGTTTTTAATATTTTCAGATATAGTTACAGTGAGAAAATTAACGAGGACGAAATGATAGTAACAATGGAAATTATAGGTGTAGAGATAACAGACGAAGGTAGTTATATTTGTCAAGCTGAAAATGCTGCTGGTTTAGTTTGGAAAAATACTACATTACACGTAATGAGCCGTGAGCTAGCAAATCTTGATCCTCCGCTCCAGTCTGAAGACAGCATAGAGAACTCCACAACAGAAAGCGCAGGCTACGCTGCGGCTATTGCAGCAGGTGCACTCTTAGGTACTCTTTTAGCATTAGGTTGCCTTTTTCTTGGCATATTTTTTTATGCGCGTCGATTACATTCTTTTGGTACAAAAGCCAAGTCAGAGTTCAAACAAATCACGGACTCTGGTTCAAATTTGGAAACAAACTGCAGCGTGAATACAGGTTTGCCAAGTGGCTTCATACCAGCTTCCATACTCAAAAAACCTGGGGTCACAAAAACTTCTGAAGAATTTAATTCTAATACACAAGAACTAGGTGAATTATCTAATGCCCATCCGCGGCGTCGTTTTATCGAGCCTGACCTCATTAATGAAGTACCGAGCCAATCAACAGTATCTAATTATCTTCAACAACCCCAATTAAATCAGATAGAAAACTATTCCAACTGTCTTGACCGTGACGGTTATCCACTAAATTTTGGTTTACCTAAACTTAATTGTCTCGGCAGGGAACGCTTAAGATGTACTAGTTTACCTAGGTTACGTCAACGCCAAAATCAACTTCTTCATTCAAACATATCTTTAACTCAGCAGCAAATAGAATCCGCTTTCTCACCACAGGAATGTTATTCAAAAGAAGCGGAAATTTTAATGGAAGACCAGCCATCAATGGCTTTTCTCGACCTTGGTTACGCTGCCGTCGTGCAGTCGGTACCACTGCCGCCGCCACCTGCCTACCGCGTTCAATTACCAGCAGATCTATCAGTATTACAACAGCTATCACCTAGTCAGAGAGCAGGACAATCCATTCAGCATCCAGAAAGTCCTGATGAAGGTTATGTCGGTGATGCCCTAGACGTCTAATAGATTTAACTTTTGTTTTATGAAAAATCATGTACACAATATTTTAAGCTCAAACAACCCCGATTAGTAAAATTCTGGAACTGGAATATAGGAAAATAGATAGGATTTTCCGAAGTATTTTCCCTTGCTCAATCAGAAAATTACTTAATTTTTTGAATATTTAGATATCAGAATTTTTTAATATTTCAATTTTCTAATTTTTCGTTCACAATTTTGCTAAAAGAAGTTTCGAAAATTAATTTTCTAAGATAATATATAGGTAATTACCATTTGAGTAACAACAAAGTTTATATATATTATATTACAATCTTATACTATGATAGGTATTTACACACAATAAGATAGTTTGACCTAGCTACCAAAATATTAAGTTATTATATTAAATAATGCTACAGTTATTTATATCAAAGTAATGCTAATTGTTATTATCAACCTCATAAATATGCGCCGTTATCTATATCAACTTAAGAGTTGTAGATTTATTAGTTTTTAGACCAAATAAACTTTGTATTAATTTATGAGACGAGTATTTGATAATAAGAAATATAGCGAAATAAGCATGTTAAAATTACCTTGTTGAATATATATTCGGAACAGGCTATTCGAAAGGACCTATTTAAAAAGTCAAATTTTTTAACTACTAAACTTAATTCTATGATCCCTAGGCTTAAAAACGTGTTTTTGGTTTTTTTGAAAAACATTTATTCTACTCACAGTTCCCTTCAAAACAACTGAAAAAATTCATGGAGGGGCCTTTTTCACTGAAAAAATATCCTGATTTTTTCAGATTTCAAGGATCAAAATGGTGACCAGAAAAAAGTGACTGCAAAAACAAGCTATGATTTGCATGTTAGGCAGCCCTTGAAATCTATCTTTAGATCTATTCTTCAAGATGGTTTGTGATGAAACTTTAATGAAAATTTCAGATTGAGACTGCATTCGGTTCTCAAGATATCCAGGGTCAAAGTTGTTAATTTTACATGAGCCCGAAATCCAATATTACTTAGCTTGTATCGATCCATTTTTTCTTAAGATTTATTAAACATTTTGGAATTAATATGTCTTTATTTTATAAATGTAAATTAATTTTAAATATTATTTTTTTGTTTTTAGAAATTATTGAAAAACCTTTAAAAGTATAAACAATTCGATTCTGATTTCCGATATTTCGGTTATGAGTAGTATTACAAATCATATTAAACTTTTCAACTTTTTAAACTTATTCTACATTGACTTATACTAAATACCTTTCGGAAAATGATAGTAATGCAAAAACAAAAATTTTCGCTGTATGTAATAAATCGTAAACAATAACTGAATTGTGAACTTATGCAAAATTGATAACTTTGGCTATCGATATCTCACGAATCAAATACTGCCGCAATTTAACATTTTCAGGAGATAAAAGTCTCATCATAAACTATTCTTTAGCATAGATTTGAAGTTAGATTTCAATGGCTGCCAACAGGCGAAACTTGCGGTCACTTTTATTGTTTTTTTTATTTTTCAATCATTTTTTAGGTTATGAAGGTCTTGTTTAACTAACTTCCAAATAAGCATTTTTCATGTATTTTTTCCCCTTTTTTCGCATGCCTCTATTAGAATTACTATTTTCAGGCCACAACATGCTAAAAAATTGAATAAATAATTTTTTCCATATTTTCGGTATATTACCTAAAAATAAGATAATCCAAAAAGTACTAGAACATTCATAGTACTCTAGGACTCTATGTTATGTATAAAAGGCTTTAATAAATAAAGAGTATAGCGCTGTAGCAGCAAAGGACCTGATTCAATGAACTTCATCTATAGGAAATTCTCGTTAGACTTATTCGCTAAACATTTAAAAATTGAAATATTATAATAACAACGTATTAATGCACAATAATGAATACATTTTTATTGTGAAAATGAGCGTAATAAGTTATCAATAAGAACGTGAATACTTCGAATAAATATAAGCTATTATAAGAAGATACAAATCATTAATATCAGATATTTTCTATTCATTCGAAACATTATGTTAGTTATGTGACATTAAACGTCGCAGATTTCATTAAAAAGGTATACACTTTTGATTTTTAACCCGTTAACCCTAAATGTTTTTCAGAAATTTAATTATAAAATATAAATGAACCGTAAGAATGATTCATACCCATTCAATACAATGTATTTTACGAGCAAAAAGTTACGTATTCTATTCTTGTTGGCGCTGCCGGTAAACTATTCAAGGAGCGAATATTAAATATTATGAAATGATATGCAGATATATGTATGCAAAAATTTAATATCAATTATAAGCAATTATTCCGCCCTTTTTTTATCTGTGCGGTTCGAAATTGTCTATCTTTCTATAGTTTTGTTAATTTCTATTTTTATTGGTGATCGCAAAGAAGTCGAGTTGGCGAGCGCTCCTATATAAACAATATAACATTATTTTCCTGTTAATCAGCTTCGGAATTTCGCCACAGCATTTCCAAATTAGTGATGAGAATCCGATAACGCTATAAAAAATTTCATGTTCATGAAGGTGTATCACATCTACATCGTTTATACAACTACGTCCAAGATACTTGGCACTGACGACTGTGAATCTTTGGCATAGTTGTAAAACAATATAGATGCGAGAAAATGGATCAAAAATTTATTATCCATTAGTTATCAGATCCATTATATCATGAAAATTTTACATTTGAATTCTTAACCATCGCGTACTCATAGTATCACTTATAGGAAATCGAATTCTGCTTACATAATTGTGCTGGTGATAAAAGTGTAATATATGTTTTCAATGTTTTTTTTTTCCATAGAATACGATGACGTTATCAATTTTTATTATAAAACGTATTAAAGAGAGTTAGAAATGGAAAAGCATTGAAAAAAGCGATTTGTTATTACTAACGCTTACTAGATAGACTTTTTGTATATAAATCATTATTACCTAAGAAATATTAGTCAAAATAATAAGTAGATAAAAATATATATTTAAAAAATCAGCAATAATACAAGACAAGGTAAGTCGTTTTGTTATTAAAAATAGAATAAATCTAAGTAACTTAAATAATCTCATAAAAATAATTAAACCGTGTATTCCGTTTGCAAAGATTATAGGAACCTTACAGAATCCTTATAAAGTAGTTTTACTTATGTCTCATAGTTAGCATATCTTATTTCTAATATCCCTGCTAAAAAAAATCCATTGGAAACTATTAAAAAAAAGTCAATAGATTTCAATCCTCGATCTTGTTTGTCAAAAGAACCATTAAAATCGTTTGGAATTAAACGAGGAGATACTGAAATGGGAATCTATTGAAATTTATTAGGTGTGAAACGATACGTTACCATTGATTTCCATTCAAAATTTTTATGTTGAATTGTTTTCAATAGGGAATTATACCATTCACGGTAACATTCTTAATAGGATTGAATCATATTGATATCTCTTTCATACTGATTTGTCACTAATCGTAATTTTTACGAACAAGATCGAGGATTGAAGTTTATTCGACTATAGAAATGAAAGGTGAACAATATTCAATGGTAAATGAGTCGATTGAATCAATAGATTTTTATCGTTGAATAGTTTTTAATAACTGAATATTTGATGACTATTGGAATGAATGAGATTCTATGGTACTTAACAGTTCTGTACTCATTGCCAGGTTTGAATCAATTGCAAAAATATTTAACAATTTATGTTACTACTATGTAATCACTTTGAATAGATTCAAATGATGCAACTTTTCTAACTGGTATATCGTAAATATAACATTGAGATTCGTAAAGAATGAATTGATTCTATCATTATAATTGTTTATTCTTAATAATTGTCATTTATTGAATTATATAAAAAACCCATTAAAATAGATTCAATGAGAACATTATTTTTAAATCAATCATTAGAATGTATGAAATATATTAAAACTAAAAAAATCTATACGTCACCCATTTGCCATAACATTGGAATCGACATAAAACTATTCCATTGAGTACAATTGAGAATTTATTCTTGAAAGTATCATTAAAGTGTATAGAAAATCATAATATTGAATACGATTACATGTATCACCCGTTCATTATATATTGAAACCGATTGAAAATTGTTAGACTGAGGCCAATTGAGTATTTATTTTTTAAACGATCATTAGTATCTATAGAATATGATTCCATTAGGTACGATTGGTTACAGTACCCTTTCATCATACATTGAAATTTATAGAAAACTGCTCGATTAAGTACGATTGGGGAATTTTTTCAACATGAATCTTTTGAAACTCATTAAATGCGATTCAATAAAATACCATTGAATTGATTTTTATTAAAAGTATTGTTTATAATGATTTATTACGATTGAAATTAATTGGAATTTTTACTTTTCATTACTAATGCCATTAATTACCATTGAAAATGATTCATTTTCAATCTCCACTTAAACATTGATGCATTCATTCCATTGAACACAATTGATTACCATTCAATATAAATCATTCTTAATAGGAACCAATGAATTTTTTTCAGCAGGGATTTTACAATATATTCTTTCATTTTTTTGGTATGGCAATTAGATTATTTAATATTGTCCGATTATTATATTATTTTTTATAGTAATGGTACAATGTAAATTATGACAAAATATTAATTATATTCGAAATTAAAAAAAAATTCAACTGATAATATAAAGAAATTGATGTTTGCATCATAATTTAGAAAAATAAATGTTTCAATCATATTAATAATTTACTACTACGCTATAAATATTTTATTTAGTAATATTTGTCGAATTCAAGCTTGGAACGAAAAGCAAAATTTAGGTATATACATTCAGACAACAAATTACGACTATTACAGTTTAGCACGCTAGGCTCTTATCTCGAGCTGCTACTAAATTTGAAAATTGCATACATATATAGTTACATATATAGTTCTTATAAAATACACATATATATTTCTTATAAAATGTATACATACATACATATATATATATATATATAGTTCTTTTTATACTTTAATAATGTAGTGTTTATAAGTAATAGAGTAGAAATAGTTTAGTGTGCATTTGTGATTACTTGTAGTCTTGAAGACAAAAATACTTAATTAAGAAAATAAACTAAGCTAGGTCATCAGTTTTTACATCTGCATATCTAATGTCAATTCTAGTAGACCATCGTGAGAATTAAAGAAGGTTAGGGATCTTAATATCGTAAATAAATAATAAATGGATAATAAATTATAAAACTTGATCAAATAAAATTAATGAATTTTATCCTAAATTTAACGATTTTTTGAATGTTACCTAAAAATTTTTTGAATCTTATTCAATACTTGTATCTTACAACTGCCTAACTTACAGGAAAATTATATTTGCTTGTAAATAACTTTATTTATGCGAATCACTAATTAATTACTTTGGAGAAAAGAGTATCATCAGAGAGGATCTAGTTTGTAATCATACTACTGTGGGCAAAAAGTAAGGTGAATTTTCAATTTAAACTTCGCGGGCTTAACATTTCGAGCTAGTTCTTTTTTTCTTGAGTTGGTAGGACTGCGAATGACATCTGGGACAAATTTCATGTCAATGTCATCATCAGTAATATATTTACGCTTGTGTTTACCAAACGACCAAGAGTGCATGTTTTGATTTTTACAATGTCTGATTTAATTGAGCAAAGAAGTGCCATCAAATTTTGTTTGCGGAATGAAATTTCGGCTGCGGAAACGTTGAGGATGTTGCGGAAGGCCTTTGGTGATTCTACCATGTCGCAGAAAAATGTTTATAAGTGGTACAAAGACTTCAAAGAGGGTCGAGAACGTGTTGATGACTTGGAGCGCTCCGGACGACCATCGACGTCAACAGATGACCAATACGTCAATAAAGTGAAGGAATTAGTGCTCGAAAATCGTCGGTTGACTGTTAGAGACCTTACTGATATGATCGGAATATCAGAAGGATCTGTGAAAACAATTTTGAAAGATCATTTGGGCCTACGAAAAGTCAAATCTCG